TCACTGACCTTAAGCTCCTTTCTATGTGTTTTTTCCCGGTCAAGAACTGAGTTTTTATTGAACAACGCCATCGCAGCATGGAAGCAGCCTTCATGGAGTGTGCAGAACTCCTGTACAGGTAACGGAAATCTTGTTTTTATTGACTCCATATTCTTGTTGTAGCTATCAATTGCTTCGTCCTTTGCTCTCTTGTTTGATGTGTTCACCACATGTGTTAGAGTACTCTCAATGCACAGTTTGAAATTGGGATTATTGGAGCTATTGACGTACTCCTCCACCAGTGTCAGGAATGCTGTCCGGAAAAAGTGGGAAAGAAATGTCGTAAAGTAACATGATTATCCATTTTCATAATATAGGTTTTTGGGTCAGATCGCGTTATTTATAAATGTGTCATAACCCTCCACCACCTGACACGGCCAAACAGTAAAAAATGTGTCACCTTATTCAAAATCCTATGTGCTAAATTATCCATTTTGTTATGGAAACCGATTCATTTATTTGAGCATTATTCTTTATAAATCAGTGCTGAAATGTAGAAATAACTATCTGTAATTAATAGCCAGTATACGTTTATTATGAACGATGTAAGCTGCCGGGCCAGATTCGTTGAATGGAAATAATGTGACTCAGCAGAACGTTCCATCAGTGGAAACTGTTTTACAGTTATTGTACCTTTTTTATAACAAGGAAATAAAATAAACCATTTGAGACATATTACACAATGCCTGTTTTGCAAAGGCGACCTGAGTAACATCAAAAACAATTAAAGTACACGAAAATATATATTTTACAAATTCATAATAAACGTTTTTGGGTTAGATCGCGTTATTTATAAATGTGTCGTAACCCTCCACCACCCGACACGGCCAATCAGCAAAACAGTGTCACGTTGACAAAAGAAAAATAGTTTACTGCTTTAGCCCACTGGTGTGTTGAAGAGTTAAACCACAACATTTACAATTTTTTAGTACGACGTTTCGCTGGTCATTACATCCAGCATCATCGGGCAATTTGCCAGAATGTTGAGACTCTGCTCTTGCTCCCGGTCTTAAATAGAGCTAAAATAGTGTTAAACTATTCAACAAATATAGACTAAGTTTAACCATATAGAGTACAATGTCAATAAGGCAAGCAAAAAGGTCACTTGCACTTAAAATGTAAAAATATTTTAAGAATGTAATATAGGTTTAGTAAAGTTTTGCATTAAACAATGTTCTACTAAAGTTTATATCAAGACTCTTCATTTATTCTAGATTTGAAGTTTTCGTGACTGCAAGGATTCATACTCTTAGGCTTTTTCGGTAAAGTCACGTAGGTAAAAAATAAAATGAATAATAAATAATAGAAATAATCATCTTGGTTCTTTCGGTAAAGTCACGTAGAAGGGAAGTAATAAAATAATAAAAATAAAACATAATAAAATAATTCTCACGACGTTTCGGCCACAACGCAAGCAGCCGTCCTCAGGTGAAGAATGAAACACCACCAAGCTTGGAGCGTATATTTAAGCTGGGTTGGAGAGGGGAAAAAGAGCGCCTTGACAAAAGATTTTGCATATCAAGATGAATTTAGCGTATTTATGGGAAATGCGTAGGAGGTGGGCGGGGGGTTTCAAAGTCATATTATGCCCGTGCATTATGCAGGATTAGCAGCATCAAAGGGAGGGGATGGGGGTAGCATTAACAAAGGGAAGGAATGTTAATAGTATGTAGCTGCAGTTACTAAACAACCACGTAACAAACTAAAGTATACACTACATAGTATCATCGGTATACTAAATATACTCTCCAATAAGCTGAGCTACTAACAGTAATACATTACAATTCTACATCGCAAAAAATATAATATGCTTCCAGCTAAACTTTTTTCTCTTACATCACACGGGTCTACCCCGTACTATATACTACCATAGACAAACCCAACATTAAATTACATACTGTATTACTATACACCACTCTATACCTTCGACTATAATATTACCCTAAGTATGATTCTACCCACCCTACTGTATACCACACTGCTGTATATTCACTATACATTTACGATACTGTATATTATATTATACATTATATTAAACATTACAATTTTATACTATTTATACAATCTGTTATACACTATACCAATGACCATCGCGTGAAAGATACTAAGAGGAAGCAACAAAATATGTCAATGGAAGAGTGGTGAAAGGAGACTTGCAGCGGAGCAAAGAATCCATTCCCTGTGGAGAATACAAGATATATAGTCAATGCCAGTGAGTGGACTCGCAGTCAGGGCTGCTTCAATCTGGAGTGGAACTCGTCATTACCGTCGTCGTTGTGACTCAATTTATCACTCGGCCTTAAGATTTGCATTGAACTGCCCATATAGGACCCGCCACTGCGATCTCTACATTGGGTTAAACTTAACTTATCTTATTGATCGACGGCTTGTGCATTAGATCATATTTATTCACGATGTACTTACAAAAAAATCAAAAGACTACCTGCTGGATCTCCTCACTGTTTCGAAGAACAAATGTGACCTAAGGTCTTCGCTTATTTACCAGCCTCACATTCCTTATTACCGTAAACATATTGGAGGAAGGGCCTTCCTATTGATGCCCCCAGAGTCTGGAATGCTATCGCCAATAAACTACAACTTGGATCACTACCAGTGAGATCTTCACTCAAAAACTGCTCTAGAGGAGTAGTACACCCCTAGCTGCAACTGCTATTCAGAATGGCCTGAAATCAAATGTATCTTTCCGGAATGACCGCTGCAAAGTATGGTCTTGAGTTTTGATTATAGTGTGCTGATCATTAAAGGTATATTGAAAATTTTAGATTCTGCTACTGATACTCTAGCTGTCATGGAGTGACTCATGCAGACAACTATGGCTGCAAAGTTTGGTCGTACATGTTATGTATATCGTTTATTGTTAAATTTGAATCACAGTTCCTATGATCACTGTTACATCGTTTTAATAGCTTTATTTTGGTGATTTTGAAAATGTTTTGGTTTAGCCATATTAGTTTTTTTGTAGTACAGAGTTAGCCTGATAACTTTAATCTACATTGTCTTATGGTTGTTATTATTTGACTTGCATCCCACTGGGATTTTTTGCACACAGCGTTGAAATATGGTGTTTTTTTCTGGAAGATTTTGCTGTTTTTTCCAGGATTTTTCTGTTGCGTGTAGTCACTTTAAGATGTTTCTTGTTCATGTTTTTGTTTTGTTGTGGTTGCACCCGAGTCAAGAGCCGCATGGCTCACAGGGTTATACCTAATAAATGAAAATTATCGTCTTTTCTCCATTGCCCCGAGCAGGCACCCTGGCTGTCAGGCCAGTGGCTGTTTTGCTATTTTTTTCCCAACCGGCATGGAGTTCAGCCGGGGTGCCGAGACAAGCAAGGACGATCAACCCCCGTCGATGACTGCTGAGGCGGAAACGGTCATGACTCGTCAACCGGGATGACGGAGATCAGTGCAGGAGGGCGATGCGGCGCAGGTGTCAACCTCGACGGGGAGGAGGCGGGCTGCGGAGGACGCTTGGAGGCAATGGACAAGGAGAGTTGAGGTACCAGCGTGGAGTGAGGTGGTTTCTGCCAGACCGAGCGAGGATGCTGTGGAAACTGGGGCCTTTTACTGGCCAGCAGGCGCAAGGCGATCTGAGCGAGACCATCAAGGCAGGTGCTGGACCTATAAGGGCAGGACGACACCAGGGACGTGTAGAACGGTGGCACGTTGGACCGGGGGTGAGTTTCACGCCGGTCCATGCCAGGAGGCACAACTGCATCCGGGTGGCCTTTAAAGATGATGTACCAGAGGAAGTATCCATGGACCGCCCGAGTTTTGTACGGACAGTGGTGGTCGGGATGCTAGAAGTTGAGCCAATGGACCTGTTTTATTTAATAGCCTTGCCGGGCGACAGGGCTTTCGATGTTAGCTTTAAGACAAGCAACTTATTGCAGCGTTTTCTGACTCATTTTGAGGATAAGGCAGGCGAGAGGCCTCTGTCGCTGCTTAAACTGCACGTATTATCAGAGCTAGACACGGAAATGGTGACGGTTTTTCTGTATAATTAGGCACTACTGGATCATGATGTGGAGGTGTGGTTGCGACAGCACTGCCACTTGTTGTCGGGTTGCAAGAGGGTCCAAGACTCGCTAGGTATTTTGACAGGTGCCAGGCCGTGGCAGGTGAGGTTGAGAGTGGCGGACCGGGCCCTGCAGCATATCCTAAGTGCCCTTAATTTTGGCGGTAGTATAGGCTACGTCGTTTATGAAGGACAACCCAAACTCTGCCGGAGATGCGGGGGAAGAGGCCACCTGGCAGCGGCATGTGATTCGCGAATGTGCTACCGCTGCAAAGCGCTGGACCACGTAGTGGAAGAATGCAGAGTCCCTGCGTTATGTAATCTGTGTGGAAGTGAGCTCCATCTATACCGGACTTGCCCAGAATCATACGCTAATATGGTCCGGGCACACGAGATCCAGACGGCTGAAGGAGAGGACAGAGGGACGACTGAGGCCGGGTCGGAGCATGCACCGATCGACCGGGCAACTGGTGGCATGAGTGGAGAGTAGACAGGACGGAAAACACCACCGCAGGACGAGAAGGAGGAGGGAGAGGCAACGTCCGAGGATGGGGAAACATCCGCGCGCCGGCGAAGAGATGACCCCGAAGCCACGGAGATGGAGGAGGCGGCGCCTGAACCATCCATGGTTGATTGGGCGGAAGAGGTGGAGGCGGGAGAAGACGAGGTGGTGAAATGGAAGAAAGGCGAAAAGAGGGAGTCGTCTGAGAGGACAACACAGAGGAAGCAGAGGACACCGGGCGCCCCCTCGAGATCGGTCCCCTTGCGTCAGATTCTTCAACAGACCCGGTGACATCTGAAGAGGTTAAAACAGCAAAGATGTGCCAAGGGAGGGGGTTTTCCCCGAAACCCAGGAGTGCAGAAAGTCTTCTGGACCTGGTCGACAGGAACTGTTATGCATTGCTGGAGGACGTCTCTGAGCCGGACTAGGCACTCTTGATCATGGAGCTCTCTGTTGCGTCGGTCAATGTGAGAGGGATCTGGGGTGCGGCCAGGCGGGGAGTAATGGAGCATTATTTTCGAACCTTAAAGAAAGACATTTACTTCTTGCAGGAGTGCCACCTGCCGTACTCTCTCGGCCGGGCAAAGCTGTTTGAGTCCTGGGATGAGCACTGCTTCTGGTCAGGGAGTAACGCCAATAAAACACTGGGGTAGTCATCATCCTGGGACGTAAAAGCGTCGTGGTACAGGAGACCCAAGAAGTGGTCCCTGGCCGTCTCCAATATGTGGACGCCACATATGATGAAACAACTTTTCGTCTCATTAATGGTTATGCCCCCACGTGCATACTGAGCGTCTAGAACTGCCTACTCTGCCTATCGGACATGCTGCCTGCATATGGGTGTCGGAGGATTGACCCCTCTTCCAGGGAACTTGGTGGCTTGGTTAAAGACTTTGATTTAATTCACACTTTTCGGTTGATGAACCCAACACGCCCGGGTTTTATTTGGACTAATTGTTTGGATTCTTTACATTCAAGAATATATTTTATTTTTGTCTTCGCTATAATTAAAGCAGAGTACGTGGAGATTGAACTTTATTTTTCGGACCACAAGCTGATTGCTGCGAGGTTCCAGGTGGACTGAGGTTGGGGAAAGGGATATGCAGGATGAACACGAGTATTTTAGCAGATGAAACGGTGATGAGGGTTTTATCAAATGTTATGCAGAATGGAGGACCCTGCGGTGCTGTTTTGTCACCATGGCAGAGTGGTGGGAAATTATCAAGAACCTTATCAATATTTTTTTCAGGCACACAATAACCGGAAGAGTGTCAGAAATGAGTTGAGGGGTTTGAACAATCAGTTAGAGATAATGTATATGTTGCTGGAGTTAGGTTTCTCGGTGATGAATGAGGTAAGGCGGCTGAAGGACAAAATATCTTTGTTGCTGGAAAAGCGGGCTGCACAGCTCATCTTCAGGGCATAGGTTAGGGCAGTGGAAGTGGGGGAAAAGTGCAAGAGTTATTTTTTTCAGAAAGTGCAGGAAGGCTGAAAGTACAATCCAAGAGCTGGTCAGCCCGACCTTGGGCAGACTGACGCAGACGTAGAATATAGGTGAGGCTGCGCGGGAATATTACGCAGAACTGTATGGAAGTAAGACGCCAGAGGCGGGGGCCCGAGACCTCTTCTTTAGGGAGGTTAAGCAGAAAATTAAGGATCCTGAGGAAATGAATAAACAAATTCAGATGGAGGAGCTGGGCGAGGCAGTGAGAGGACTACGTCGGCACAGGGCACCGGGGCAGGATGGAATACTGGCTGAGTTCAATGACACATTCTGGGACACCATCAAGCACGACTTGCTGCATTTGTATAGAGAGATCTTGGAAGAGGGTCCAGTGCTAGAGTCCATGATATATAAGGGGAATTGGGCTCGCAGCAAAATTGGGAGCTGGCGCCCAATTACGCTGTTGAACACGGACTACAAGATCCTAGCGAAATGCATCACAGCACGTTTAGGGAAAGTGGTAGGGGAGATAATACAAATGGACCAGACATGTGTGGTCCTGGGCAGACGCATTTCAGATAAATTTATCCTGCTGAGAGAGGTTATAGAATCCACAATAGAGGGGCGGGCGCTCTTGGGACTCCTTAGTTTGGACTAGGAGAAAGCATTCGATCTCATTTCACATGACTATTTGTTTTCAGTGCTGACACATATGGGGGTAGGTGAACTTTTAGCAGGGTGGGTAAAGAAACTATACCATAGGCTCTTGAAAAGACTTCTGATAAACGGGACTCTTTCGGAGGTAGTCCCAGTTAGGTCGGGGGTGAGACAAGGATGCCCCATGTCACCGGTTTTGTTTGTCATATGCATTGAGCCCTTTGCCCAGATGATCAGAGCTAACCAGAGGATCTGAAGGGTCACCATCACGGGGTGTAGCGACCAGGAAAAAATTGCCATGTACATGGACGACATCGTGGTTTTTTGCAGAGAGGTATCCTCGGTGTGGGAGGTGCTGGAGCTCGCAAGGCTTGTTTTATCTGGGCTCCGACTCCAGGGTTAACTTAAGAGCATGATGATGATCCTCGGGGATCCCAGGCTTCTTGAAGGACGCCCAAAAGAGCTAAGAATACTGACAGAAGGGATTAAAATCCTGGGCGTCACCTTCTCACTGGGATGGATCGACAAAAAATAACTGGCAAGAAAAGATAAAGACGGTGAAGGGCAGGCTGGCCAGGTGGACAGCAAAAAGCCTTACTATGGATGGGAGAATTTTAGTTTTGAAGGCGGAAATGCTACCTGCACTTAATTATTTGGCATATCTTTCCGCCGGGCGCGTGTATGATGCACAAGTTGGGAGCACTGTTTATCAAGTTGATCTGGGGAGGAGGGATTGACTGGGTAAAGAGGGAGACTGTGTTGATTTGAACCACCTCGATGGGGAGGGTTTCCACACATCTGTTAGAGCTTTTAACAGATAACGAGAAAAGAATGCTCACATGATCGAGTCTCTTACCTTTCAGAAGAGATGCCGCGACAACAAGGTAATACCAACCACATTTACACTCATATCTGCTTCTGTCACTTCTCCGAACTCTAAACGGATCTTATTCAGAGCTAGCCTATCTCTAATCTCAGAGAGGATAAAACTACCCCGTCTTGAACTTGATAATTTAGACAAATGTCTCCTACAATCACACCTAACATTAACAGAAAAAAATGTCCATATCTGTTTGGAACCTTGTAGATAACATGACTGCTTCTTCTGCCGCAACAATGCCTTCAAAATGCAAGGTTAACCTTATTGCTGAATTCAACAACTTGTCAAAAAAGAAACTCGTGCCACACATTAGAGAGCTAGAAGTTAACAAGACTGTTATCAATCAGAGTAACAGCACAATCTCAGATAGCCTAAAATCGGTACTAGCTAGAGGGCTAAATTGTACTGTCACCCCCAAACACATGCCAGTGGATAATATAATTGCCGAGGTAGATGTAGCCCTCAAAGGCTTGGGACACATCCCAGCAGACGTGGCAAGATTTGAAATTGCCACTATCCTTAAAAATGCTAAGAAACCCATTAGTAACATCAGCAAAGACGAGCGCTCTGAACTCGCCAAATTGAAAAAAGAGAGAGGACATAGTCATCCTCTTAGCCGACAAGGGCAATGCTGCTGTCATCATGGATAAAACCACATAAACAACAAAATCCAGGATCTTCTTAATGATTGCAATTACACCAAAATTAACAAAGATCCTACCAACCGCCTGACTACAAAAAACAACAAACCTTCGGCTGCTAGACCACCCAGATTTTATGGCCTTCCAAAATCCACAAAGTAGGTACCCAGCTCCATCCTATCATCTCCACCATTAACTCACCCACCAACAAACTGGCCCAATTTCTGTCTGAGACCCTGCTTCCTTTCACGGGCAAGACCACCTCAGCTGTACTTAACTCAGCTCACTTGAATTTCGATTTAAAGTTTTGGTGACTGCAGGGATTAATCTTCTTGGTTCTTTGGGTAAAGTCACGTAGAAGGAAAATAATAAGAAAATACAAATAAAACATAATCAAATAAAATTATCACGACGTTTCGGCCACAACAAAAGCAGCCGTCCTCAGGTGAAGAAACAGAGCTGTCGGAAAGACAGGGCTCCAATGAACACTGCTAAGCTTGGCAGCGTATTTAAGCTGGGTGGGAGGAGCAGAGCGCCTTGAAAAAGGGAGTTACATATCAACAGAATAATTTAGCATAGAAGTAGTTATGATAATGTGAGAGATTTGCATGATGTTAAAGTGAGAAATTAACCGGCTACCTTCACAGATTTGTTCATGAAGCCATCCAGATATATAAACACAGACACAACTGCAACCGAGAAGATGGGTACAAACTGAACAATCATTGGAAGGACGTTATTAACCAGGTAAAGTCTTAACTGACTGTGATGTTTCTATCCTACCTGCCTATATCAGCTGTTATTTCCGATTCTATATGTCTCTCTCTCTATGCCTCTCTCTTAGATCTCTCATATGTCCTTTGGATTGCACTCTCATGCTCACATGCCCTTTGGATTGCACTCTCATGCTCACATGTCCTTTGGATTGCACTCTCATGCTCACATGTCCTTTGGATTACACCTCTCAGGCTCACATGCCCGTGGGATTGCACTCTCATGTTCACGTCCTTTGGATTGCACTCTCATGGTGCTAATCTCTCATTAACACTGCTGTTGTGTGCATATTCGGGCATGATATTCTTACACGGCGACAGAGGCTCATTCATGCTAATCCCCCTCCCGAATCCCTCTCTCCCTAATCTCCCCCATTAACACAACTGACGTGCTTACGTCCGTGGATGGAATTCCCTTCCAGCTCAGACCCCGCTTGCTTGCCCATCGCCACATATATAACCTTTTGTTAACTGCTCTTTCGCTGATAATTGTTTTTTTACCCTTCGATCTGGCAACAAAACTGACACCTTTTTACAAGGAGTCATGTTTGCATAGACCGCAATACCTGCAGTCATAATACAAACAAAAGACATAACTCTGATAATGTGCACTGTCCTTGAAGTTTATTGGTCCACACCCGAGACAGCTTCCTTAGAGCCTAGTCTCACATGGGTTGGACCAGATGACGCCAAAAGGCGCATAACTCAAAGGCAATGCACCATCAGAGTATGAGAGCTCGGGGTAAGCCTTTACACTATGGGAACCTCATTTGCCAGTAAAAATATGATAATTGTTTTTTTACCCTTCTATCTGGCAACAAAACTGACACCTTTTTACAAGGAGTCATGTTTGCATAGACCGCTGCGTCGGCGGGGTCGTCCGTTGTCACATGGCACATTGATGGGGTGGAGGTGCGGGTACTGATCGACACGGGAGCTTCAGCGACTATCATTTCCGATTTGATTTATAATATCCTGCCCGTTCAGAGTCGCCCGTTGCTCCCCGTCGACATACCATGTTACGCTGCAAACGGGGGCTCGTTAGGTATTATCGGCCAAATTCGAGCGCAAATTTCTATCGGGGACATTAAACTATCTGGCCCGGTGTTGGTCTCCTCCTTGCTGGCAATTCCGTGCCTGTTGGGGACAGACTTTTTGGCCAAATTGCCTATCAAAATTTTGATTGACCAGGGATGCATCGAGCTTCCATCGGGCCGACGTATAACGTTCCTGCCTTCCACCGCTGCCTTGCGTACTGCCTGTGCAACGGTACAGGCGCTCGTTGCTCGAATGGTGCGCGTACCCCCGGGGGCACAGATGCTTGTGCCCCTGCGGTTGCGTCGACCGTTCGCTAAAGGGGTCTCAGACCGGGGCATTATGCTGGGGCCGTCTAGGGCCGGGGTGAATGGGCCAGATTTGGTGACGGCCCAGACTATTGTTAAAGGGGATGAGGACCCGTTTATCGCGGTCCTCAATGTCGGGACACGGACGGCGGTGGTTTCGCAGGGAACCGTGTTCGCACATGCGGTTCCGGTACCTGCGGAAACGCCGATCATTGGCCAGGTGGCCACCGATTCTCAGTCGCGACTGCCCTCAGACATTGACGAGGGTTGGCTGGAGGAGTCACCTGACCTGTCCGACTCACAACGTGCTAAATTGCGCACCCTTTTGCGAGAATTTTCCGACGTCTTTAGTAAACACAAATACGATATCGGATGTACCAATTTGCTGCGCCACCATATTGACACCGGTGACAACGCTCCTATCCGCCAAAATCCTTTTCGGTTAAGTCCCGCCGAAAAGGATCATGTCAAATCGGCTGCAGATGACATGCTGGCTTCTGACATTATTTCTCCCTCGACCAGCCCTTGGGGTGCACCCATAGTATTGGTTAAAAAGCAAGATGGGTCCCTAAGGTTCTGCGTTGATTTCCGGCGGTTAAATAAGATCTCGGTGGCCGATACTTACCCGCTTCCTCGAATGGACGAATCTCTGGATGCCCTAGCAGGATCACGATTCTTCTCCACCTTGGATTTGCTCTCAGGGTTTTGGCAACTTCCCTTGGACGACGAATTTTAGTATGCCTTTCTCCTAATTTTCAAGCTTGCGTGCCGTGCCACGCCGTGATCTTACTTGCAGCAGCAGCACGTTGCCGTCCACTCATTGATATGCTAATTTTCTCTGCCCCCTCCCTCTCTCCGTCCCCGCCCCCCCCTCTCTATATTTAAGGCACCGTCACAGAAACGACCCCTCTCTTTGTGCCGATATGTGTCCTCTCTCTGTGTGTCCTTGTGATGTCTGTCTGCTTGTATGTCTGTCTATAGTTTTCTAGTTAGATTTTTGTTGCTATTTCTTTTATGCCTGATGATGATTGCTTGTGTTGCAATCGAAACGTCGTAATATGCTATTATTTTAATTTATTATTTTTTCATTAGACGTGACTTAACCGAAAGAACCAAATAATAATTCCTGCAGTCAAGAAAGCTCCAAAATTAAGATTAAACCACTTCTACGGGGAAGTTTTAAGCTTACCTTTTTTCTCTCTCTGGCTATTTGTTATCTCTGCATGTGTCCTCTCTTTGGAATTTTCACACTTAAATTCTAACTTTGCAATCTTTGAAATACGTAATCAACCAGGCTATGCGTTAATTGTGTGTTGACCGACTCTCTGTGTTGCATTACATCACATTTCGATATTTTGCTAGGTTATTTAATTTTAGTGTGCCTTTCTCCTAATTTTCAAGCTTGCGTGCCGTGCCACGTCGTCATCTTACTTGCAGCAGCAGCAGCACGTTGCCGTCCACTCATTGATATGCTAATTTTCTCTTCCCCCTCCCTCTCTCCGTCCCCGCCCCCCTCTCTATATTTAAGGGACCGTCACAGAAACGACCCCTCTCTTTGTGCCGATATGTGTCCTCTCTCTGTGTGTCCTTGTGATGTCTGTCTGCTTGTATGTCTGTCTATAGTTTTCTAGTTAGATTTTTGTTGCTATTTCTTTTATGCCTGATGATGATTGCTTGTGTTGCAATCGAAACGTCGTAATATGCTATTATTTTAATTTATTATTTTATCTTTAGACGTGACTTAACCGAAAGAACCAAAGAATAATTCCTGCAGTCACGAAAGCTCCAAAATTAGGATATTGGAAGTCGTCACCTCTTGTGAGTGGCTGTCTGAGGTGCCATCTGTCTAGGAATTAATGAAGGTGATCCAGAGTCTGAGACCAGGACAGTGCCGGGCACAGATGATCTGCTAAGTGAACTGCTGAGGGAGGGTGGCGTTTGTTTTGCAGATTGCCTCATATAATATCATTATAATCGTGTGGACCACTGGATTCGTTCAACAAGATTGGAAGGATGCCCTGGATTGCCCCCCTCTTTACAAGGGAGACCGCACAGACTTAAAAAAAAACTACTACCTGGGCATCTCCTTCCTCACTGTGTGGGAAAGGTCCTGCCAATGATTATTCAACATCATCTTTCCAGGCATGCTGATGAGAGGCTTGCAGAGCCCCATTGTGGTTTCAAGCCAGGGCAGCACTGCACAGATGCCATATTTTCGGTCTGTCTGCTACAGCAGAGGTGTGGGGAATTCCAACACGACCTGCATCTCTGCTTCATTGACCTGGTCAAGATCTATTATACCTTCAATAGACATGGGCTATGGAATGTTTTTCGTGCATTCGGAGTCCCTAACTCTCTGCTCACAAACATTAATGACCATTACCTAGGTGGGCAGGTCTGACGTCACCACCACTTAGTGGCGATGGCATTTGTTGTTGTGTCCCTGTCTTTGTGTGTATCTCAGTGTCTGTGTGTATCCTGGTCATTGTGTATGTCTCTATCTTTGTGTATCTAGCGTGTGTTTTTTTCTGGCTCTGTTATGTCATGATTAATAGGAGTGCTGCCCATGCAATTGATTTAAATATAGCCCCTTATATTTATAATATATTTTAAAAAGTGTGGATTGGTCGGAGATGAAAGAATACTTTTTCCATGCAACTCCTGTTATCCATCGAAACGATGATCTTGGATAATAGGAATAATTGAACCCACAGATAATATAAGTTTTCACGGACTCTACAGCTATGGGCAATTGGCGGGGGGGGGGGGGGGCACGGGGAGGCATCACCACTCCAAACTGGACACCTTAATGAATTTTTTTTCAGTAGTTTACAGTTAAGGTAAATAATAAAGTAATTATATACAGCCACGATTCCAAATGTGAGGTACAGAGCGAACCGGAACCCAACTGCGCTTCCATTCCGCGGTAATTTCATATAGTGATGCAAAATATGCAACCGCATTCTTGTTCAAGTTCGACAGTAGCCTTCATGAAGAGAGTAGACACTCAAGTGTAAGTGATAATCTATGATGAGCCGTGCAGTAGGACGATAAACTAGGACGTAAGGCCGTGAAGTAGCTTCGTTTAATTTATCTAAGAATGTTTTTTGCAAATGTTGATGAGTGATAGCTGGAAAACATGTCAAATAATTAGGTTACAACAAAAAAATAAGGGTGATGAAATGATGGTCCTTATTCACAACGCGATTTTCGAACAGGAGTTTTGTGTTTCGGGCCCAATGTGAATAGGGGCCAATGAACGTAAACTATATTTGTGATTTCAAGTACAGTCTAACACTGTACACTAACTATAGCCAGTAACAAGCTGTAAATTCGGTAGCTAGAACTACACATTTTGAGTAAATTCCAGTGTTTCCCCTATCATTCTCCTGGCCAGGTAGCAAACCTGGCCTACTGATTATAAAAAAAAAGTGCTCGTGTGTAGTTTTTAAATGCTGTTTTACGATCGCAAAGACAAGGTAATGATACACAAAGTAAAAAGCAGAGAAAATCCCACTGCCTCCCTAAATATAAAAGTCAAACTTCGCCTATGCCTACAGCTGTCATGGACAATACAAGTCATAGGTAATAAGGGTCTTTTATGTAATGTGTGAACGTCTGAACTTTATGTCAAACTTGACGTAAAAAAATATGAATGTATTATATGCAAATTAATTAAAAATGTTGCGTGATTACAACTCACAGGGGCCAGTCAGGGTTATGCTGTTAATTTGCTTCACGGTAGATGTTTGCAGCACATGCTCTTTGAATTTTTTTGCAGCGTCTAAAAATGCAGGTCTAAGTTTATCATCAGCCACATTTTCCAGATTTTTTAAATTCTCCTCATCCACAGGTCTCTGGAACACAATACACTGGCGATTCTGTGAAAAGGACAAAAAAGTGCAAATAAATTATTTACAACTATATGCCACAAACGTGCCATTTTTTTTTTACAACGGAGCAAACGTAACATGAGCAGAGCGTTATTACATATGTAAATGTCCCAGATGATGAAAAAATATATATCCGGCACAAAATTGAATACATATTTAAAAGCATTAAACCTTATTTTGGCAACAGACATGAACAATAACTTTAAATCAAATAATAGCAATAACCATACGGGCATAAAAAAGAGTTTTTAAAACTAAACATGCATTGTCTCTGTAATGGATGAAACGTATGATTCCAATAAAACATGAAATGGCTTGTTCGGGTTTATGTTTTAAGCTGACCTTACAGTGTAAAATAATTCGGTAATAGAAAAAATATTGACTCCCATCTGTCACATATTACAAGACAGCACCATGTCATATTGTGTGTAAGGTCTGAAAGTGATTCTAGAATAAGTTCTGGGCTGCGAACTTCTGGAGAGCATTACTGACATTTCCAACGTTATATATTGTTAACATTTCTTACCTTCAAGTAGGTGCATAGCTTTTCTCGCTGCTTTCTCAGTTCCTCGTTTTTTGGCGGTTTCAGGGAGTGCTCCATGTACTCATCAGCTGTGCAGGACGTTTCATTTAGCTCAAGTTCCAGTGTGAAGTCCCGTAAGCACACGATGAAATTTGGGAAGTAGTTATGAACTTCCAATTCCTGTTCATTTTCTGCTTGTGTATTTTTTGTCTGCACATGCTCAGTGATGTTGGTTATAAAGCTGCAAGAAGGTGTAGTTAAGAAACGACTCTTAAATAATCGCCTTAATCCATGCTAGCCATTTATACAATGCAAACTATAAGTATTAGTTGCCATAATGTTGGTTTAATTTCAGTGAGACTTTAACACAGTTCATCATCGTTCACGATATCTACACTGCTAGATGAAGGTAAACCCAATCCACCACGACTTTTTGTGCACGGTTAGCTATGTATGGTACGAAAGAAGTTCAACATAGGCGTGCAATTTTAGATACATCTACCAATGTGTCCTGCCAAAGCCCACTTAATGTTGATAACAGTTTGAATGTGTATTATCTAATCCACGTGTTCCTCTTTCTGTCTCTCCATGCAATTCCAAGCATGAGTCTCTCCAAGTTTGATTGCACACTTTTCTTTTTTGTTCTATAAGTTTAGTTAATGACCATATTTCTGAACCATGTGTCAAAGCAGGGTTGTACCTGCTGATTAAAAATGTTTTTCCTTTGGTACATTGGTAGGTTGCCATCATAATCAATTTCAGCCTTTCAAAAGCACTTCAACCTGCTGTCCACTTTATTCCATCATGTTATCCTGGTCACATCCAACAGTTGTCCCAGATGCCCATTCTTGGCTCTGCTTTATAGTTTTATCCCTTTGACAAACCGCCATTGGTTTAGCAGACTTGTTGGATGAGACTTTGGCTTTGCTCATATCTACACTGAACCCAACTTCTCAGGCTTATTTATTAATGTATTATACTGCTCGGGGCTCCGAGAGAGAAGGATGGCTACCAAGTGCGTATGTGGTGCTGTGTAGAATTTATAATAATGTCCGTACCCAAAAATCACCGCAGATGGACTCCCTTCACAAACCCCTTACGTAAATTTAGCGATACATTGCACAATGTACAGTGATACTAAAATGTATTTACATTTTACTTTGTTATGTGGTTTGCTACAAAAAAACTGTGCAATTTGCTGAGAAAATATTTTTACTTATTGGCAAAATTGGCAGAAAAATTAAATGTACTGAAGTCTCGTCTGTTATTTATAGCCATGCCTTTTTCTGTCTATTTATGTCTCAGCCCAGTCATTTTAGCATAGTTTTGTTCTGAGATCCGTGCAGTGTCCCTTAGACAAATTGATTCCCTGCTCATATGAGCATTGAGGTGGTGCTCATGTCATGATTACAGCCTTTAGCCTGTGGTTAAAGTCCCACATTCCTATTCCAGGGATGAGAATCGGACAACCAACTGTTGACTTCACCGCATACTGGTATTTGCTTTATCTACTGCACAGGAATTATGGAATGAGTCAACCCTCAAAGAAGATTTAAACTCTCAATACTCATTAAAGAGTCACTCCATGATGTTTTATATGGGTAAGCAATTGTATTATTCATAAACGCATATATAGACACAAACAACATTTGTTCCGCAACTGAGAAAGATACTTGAGTTGCTCTAAGCTGTGATGATCAAGGGCCCCCATGATGTTCCACACCAGCGTGGTGCTCATCAGGACAGCCATGACAAAAATCCACATGTCATGGTGTTCATCTCCCTGCATGACAACACGTGTAAAATGTACAACCCCTCTGTTATGATTGTTACATCAGCGGTAGGTTGAGTAGTTACATGGCAGTTATCTCAATGCACTCTGAACTTGGCTCCTGAGTTTTATTCCATACTACAGTGTCAACTCAAACTTTAATTGGTACTTGGTGCAGTGTGTGAACATAATTTGAGAGATAAAGGCAGGGGGCATGGATCTGACCATACCACTCCATGGACCTCAATTTCGTCCTTCATATACAGTATGCTCACTAATACTGTGTATAATTGTCTAAATGAAATATATGCTCATGAAATACAACGGTTAGTCCTCATAGACAATCTATGGTATTATAATTTAGTAATATATATTTACAGCCTTTTGAAAAGCATCTATCTCCTGTCCCTTAGGTTCCAGGATGATGGCAATAAATGCCAGTTCTGGTGGGTCTTCACTTTGCTCCAGAGACCAATAGACAGCACTTCCACATTGGATGCTGCAAAGGAATGGAATCATGTGCAGTGCAGCAGGTGTGGTGTTATGGATGAGGAGGGTGTACACAAGACCAGAATGCTGTTGTCGTGTATATTTTAAAAAAACAAGCATGAGCAACAGACATGAAGAACACGGTGAGACAACAATTTATCATAAAGCTATATATGCGAGACAGCACATCAACACTCGAGGTGTGCACACACTCCTGCAAGTCCACGGTGACGCGAATTGTTTGGAAAATTCAATTATCAGAGCATTGTCTTTGTATCGAGGGCGTAGCTGGGTCTTCAGACGTTTCAAGCTGCTTTAGCACATCATTTTAATTACTTTAAATAATGTTTTCAAGTGCGCCGTCAGTGCACACTTAACAGCATAAAACGGCTACTGAATAATTGCTTCAGTGACCTTTGTGTTCACACGATCAAAGACCATTTTTGGTGGCATATGGAGACATTATCAGAAGAGGCACATAGTGCTTCTTCAAGCATCACAGTGAAGTCTAGACCGAAAAAGCTGGAAGCAAAGAACGCACAATTACTTCACCCCAATTTGACACTGATCCTGCCAGTGATGCCAATATGGGATTGGATTATGTTGATCAATTTATGGCGGCATACTTCCTGAAGGTCTCTGGTTCCAAAAACCATGTGCATAGTAGTCAGTTGAACAAGAAAGCTACAATGGGATTCAGAGTACTGTTGGTCAGAAGAATCCGTGCAAGAATCTTGCCAGCAAAAATGTCAAAGAAAACTACAATAGTTTCCGCAGATGCTCTTTGAAGATTTGTGTTCGTATATGGTGATGTTTGTATAAACAATTTGCATAATAATTTATCGAAGCCAAAGATGTGAAAAATAAAGAACTTTGTACTGCTCTTTGTCTGGCTCCTAAACGTTGACCTGTTGGGTTTTGACCCTACCAGGAGCTAAAGCTCGCGCTGCCATATCTCTCCAGGTCATTGAAGTACACAAGCTCCACCTTGGTAAGGAAAAAGTCTAGGGAGGAGCATACATCCACTTCTGCATGACAGCATCTGCACACCGTAAAGATAAGGGTTGTTTTTTTTTTATACTTCATTAAGTTGGTCCTTGTGGCTCGATGTAATTTCCTACATTAATTTCTTAAAAGGGACGCTATACATGTGTAGTGACTGACTCAGAGACACTAAGAGTAGGAGGCACCCTATTTATTAACCTGACCTGACAGTAACACTTACTAACTACAGGTCCCAGTCAGGACAGCTGGTAGACTGCCTGACTGGCAACACCGAGATGGTGAAGACGGAGACGGCAGTGAAGACTTTAGCAGCACGAAGGGGATTCCACTCCACAAAACAGCCTCGAGGTCCCCTCCCGGGGTCACTACACATGTGTAGTGACATAGAATCGCCAGACAGCAGTTGGCTGTCTTGGTCGGCACCGTCGGTGCAAGTAGTGGCGTGAACTCCCTAACAATAAAAGGGGAGGACGGTGCCTCCTGCTGTTGTATATGTCGGTGTTATGAAATTTTGATACAAATTCTAAAATCTTAAACAACTACGCTGGTTTGGTCGTCTGCGTGCGTATCTGGACGTTAATTTATTTACGGACCCGCCCAAACAGCTCGCTCTGATTCGATGAAAATAAAACAGCCGGCAAAAAGCCACAGCTCACTTTGATTCGATAAAAATAAATAATTAACACGCCCGGAAGAGAGCGACAGCATAGGTTTGGCAAGGTCTGCGCCGCAGTGGTGCAGTGAACTGTGGGCGCAGACCCTGCGCTGTGTGAGTGTGGTGTGTATGCAAGTGTGCGAATGGTAGTTACGCTAATATTACGTTTATTTATGTAAAAAATGGGTGCTGCGTGCTGCGATTAGTGGAGTCCCCAAACAATTTTACCTTACGAGTAGGCAGGGGTCGCTATACAGTGAGTCTTAGCGGACTGAGCTGCCAGCTTCACCTGCCGGGACCACGGCCAGTTGCGTAGCGCCCCCTACAGTTTCGCCCATGGGTCAATACTCCCATGGGGCAACCCAGCTGACTGTTTGATGGGTACAATGGGTACTATCCGGCTTATTACCATTATTATGTATTGACGTTCATCACGTCTCCATGGACGGCATGCTGCTGCTGGTAAGGGCATGTGTTGAATAATATGCAGCATGTGTCCGCGTATCATGTTTGCCACGGATGCAGTTGGCGTTACTGTACATTTATCATGTTTTGGAGTGCCAATCCCATGCACTTTGAAATGTAATAAGCTGTCTACAAAGGTTGCAGCCCGGCCCCCGCCGCTGTCACTCTCTGGCCGTTGCACAAGCCATATTGGAATTTGCGACATGCTAAGACAATGAGTACAGTGCGACACCACCCGGGTAACTCCCGGGATCAAAATGGCCATTGGAAAGTTATCGCTTTTTTTAGATGATTATGGTACTACCACAGGGTATTGTGAACGGTTCAGGAGGAGAGGTCTGGATTTGTAAGTCTCACAGTACCGGTAAGAAGCGCCGGGTGGGGGATGACCTCCACTGGGGTACAAATTCTGTCATTATTAGTATACGATCATGCAATGTTTCTATCTGCAAGCTGTCATAACTGAAACGATCCCCGTTATTGTTCGATTGAGAAATGGAGTGACCCACACCTCTGATACCATATGTGAGGAACCCAAAAATCGGATGCATGCGTAAAACACCCACAATGGTAATACGTAAACTTAAAAACACCAACTAAATATTTTTTCATAAGAAAACAATAGGTGGCCCCATAACGGATTTGTCTGTGTGTGTACATACAGACGGAGAATGCAGGGGCCAACCTGTGTGCGATCGGAACGGTGCAATTGCTGACCAATGTCACTGTGGATGGTGCACACGCTGACGCACACCGGAGCTGTGTCTTTGTGATGCAAGGGCATGGTGGATGGTGGAGTGCATATGGATGATGCGTTACGAATAAAATAAAACAAAACAAACCGCTGGAAGCAGCCATGCGAGCAGGCTACCTTGAGAGCGATCGCGAATAGGTTGCGTGTCTGGAAGAAGCCTCGCTCTTTCAGATGCCGTACCAGCTTCGTCAACTCTTCGCTACCATTCTGCTGTATTCCATGCCAGCAGATACGAAGGCTCTCTGGGATAAATTCTACGACGAATTGGCTCGCGATTACGAGTACCAGTACCGCCAGCTGACCAACAAAGAAGAAATGGTAAATCTTCTTGGTTCTTTCGGTAAAGTCACGTAGAAGGGAAGTAATAAAATAATAAAAATAAAACAACATAAGATAATTCTCACGACGTTTCGGCCACAACGCAAGCAGCCGTCCTCAGGTGAAAACCAGGTCTGTCGAGGCGACAGCGTCTGAATGAAACAGCACACGTGCTTGGAGCATATATATAAGCTGGGATGGAAGGGTGGGAAAGGGCGCCTTGACAAAATAATTTGCATATCAAGAGGAATTTAGCATATTTATGGGAAATGCAGGTATGTGATTACTGCTACTTATGCCCGTGCATTATGCAGGATTAGCAGCATCAATGGGAGGGGATATGGGAAATGCAGGTATGTGATTTGTACTACTTTTGCCCGTGCATTATGCACGATTAGCAGCATCAAAGGGAGGGGATATGGGAAATGCAGGTATGTGATTAGTACTACTTATACCCGTGCATTATGCAGGATTAGCAGCATCAAATAAAATAAAAGAAATGGTAAAGTTCAAGACCCTTCACAGCCTCCACGAGTTCCTCACGGCAGGTGGGATGGCTCTGTCGGACTTTGACGACCTCCCGCAGCTTTCCGAGTACCCACACTTGGTCTTGGACTCGCTGCTTGAGAACAACCATATCTGCCGCGAATTGGAAGGATATGATGGAAACGAGCTACAAGACATCCTAGAACGTACTGACAGACTCAACACGAACCAGAGAGAAATCTACGACGAAATTGTTGGCTCAGTCGATGACAGTCAACCCGATCAAAATCTGTTCTTCATCGATGGTCCGGGCGGCACGGGGAAGTCCATGCTGCTCAACCATGTGCTGGCGAAGATACGTCTTCAAGGCAAGATTGCGATTGCTGTTGCTTCCAGCGGCATTGCCTCGCTGCTGCTTCCAGGCGGCCGTACCGCCATTCCACGTTCAAGATCCCGTTGAAACCGACGAACATATCCATATGCTTCATTCGCAAACAGTCCAAGCTCTAAGCATTTATCAAGGAGGCAAGTCTTATCGTTTGGGATGAAGCCCCAATGATGCACCGGTTTGCCTTTAAAGCGGTGGATCGCACGCCTCGCGATATTTTGGACAATCTGCATGAACCGTTGAGGCAAAGTGGTTGTCCTGTCCGGTGACTTTCGACAGATTCTGCCAGTTGTCAAGAAAGGAACACCAGATGATACTGTGGATGCGTATTTCAAGTCGTCCTACCTGTGGTCCCACTTCAAGCAATTTCATCTGACTGTGAACATGAGAGTCCAGTGCGCAGAAAACCAAGAATCAGCCGCAGAACTTGCTGCCTTTTCAGAATTTTTTTT